CCAATACGAAACGCTCGAGCGGTGCGCCCCGGGATAGTTCTGGAGCGCCCTGGAGCGGTTCATCCAGGGGAGGGCCTCGAGGGGGGCACGGCCGACATCACAACTGGTCCCTCTGAGGCGTGGCGCGGGGCTCACATCCGGGCGTCGTGAAACAGCAGGTCAGCCCCACAGGCACAAACCCTCCCAGATCGATCTGGCTCCAGAGTTCGACGAGAAAGACGAGGTCTAGAGTTGGGATCGGAATTTTGTCCGACGTCATGTTTTCCCGCTCTGTCGGATTTCGGGGTAGTGGGGCATCTTCACAACATGGAGATCTAGACAGTGGGCACACCAGCATATCCTTCCACTGTTTCTCCTGCCGACCCCTGCTGCTGCTGCTGCTGTTGCTGCTCCTCCTCCTCCTCCTCCTCCTCCTCCTCCTCCTCCTCCTCCTCCTCCTCCTCCTCCTCCTCCTCCTCCTAACGAGCAGGTAGTCTTGGTCGCTGGCACAAGAGGGAAAAGACAGGGCTGAAGAGAACAAGAGAGGGAATTGGAGGGGGCCGAGGGCAAGGTGGGAGAAACAGGAGGAGGAAGAGCGCCAGTGCCATCATGCGGTTCGTCTGGCTCGGCCGGCGGGCGGGGTCAGGCTCAGAAGTGGTGGTTAAGCCTGTCCAGGGCGGCCCTGTGGCAGGTCTTGTGCATGGAATATGAAGGGGGTGTCGTAGAAGTTGTGGCAAGTTTGACCTCCAAGTAAAGGTAGTAGAGCAGAGCGAGGTTGCGCACCGTGGTCTGGCGCGAAAACTCGTGGGCAGCCTCCTCCGGATAGTCTTCACGAGCGCCGAGCCCAAGTCGATGTAACACCTCCCTGTGCGCAAACTTGGGCGGCTCCGTGACCCACATAAGGGCGTGACGACAACGGAGGTAGTGGCTGATCTCGTCGAGGCCTTCGCCGCAACCGAAGAGGCAAGCGTGGCGCGTGGGCAAGACATGCATTCGGCAGCTCGTGTGCCACCCGCCAGCTAGCGTCCGTAAAACGACCCATCGCCAGGCCGGCGGCTGCTTGGTGAGAAACTCCCGGAGACCACGCCATCGATCCCGAAGGTCGTTCGGGATGCATGCCGCGCCGATCCACTCCACAAGTCGCTTCCGCAGTGTGTGCTCGAAGGTGTCGGGGTAGCATTCTGCTTGGAAATGACGAACAGACGTCCGTTGAGGGTGGGGGCGCGCGCCAGCTGCCTCGGACAGCCTCGCGTCGCGCCGAGCCCTCGCGGCGGCCGCCTGGTACATGGATAGCATGGTGCCCTTGCTGCCGAGCGGCCTGTCCTGTGAGGCAGCCTGGAGTCGCTGTGCGATTGCCGCGCCCATGCTCCAGAACGTGGGGGACCACTGTCCTGCGGCGAGTCGTGGAAGACCAACCTGACGGGCAGCCACCGCTTCCAGCCGCTGCAGCGCCGTGCTCCACGAGGGGACGGTGTACTCCGCTGTGCGCCACAGTGCTCCCGCCGCGAGGGCGCGCATCGACCGTGCTGCAGAGGTCGGGAACCACGTGTCGAGGGCGAGGATGTCCGAGAGCCTGAACGTGGACGGCGGCAGCCGCAAGACCTTGTGGAGCGCATGGAACTCCTTGCGGACTAGGGCCCTCGGTGGGGTGAAGAACTGGGCAAGGTACGACAGGACGGGCAGGCACGATGTGCCATACAACCGCACGTTGGGGTCCACGGGCGCGCCCGACTGTCCAGTGAGGACGATGCGGCGCCACCATTTGTCTGCCGCGTCCCGCCATTGGTCCTCCTCCGTGGCACCGGGGCCCATAACCGTGCCCAAGTACTTGCCCTTGTCCTCGATTCGGAAGTCCTTCCACTGGGGAACGAGGTACTCCACGATCCGGCGGACTCGGCGGATCAGCCCCTCCGAGAGCGGCGCCCAGAGGGGAATGATGACGCACTTCTTCGGTTGAAGATGTAAGTTCCCAAGCTCAGCAGCACAGTCAAATACGAATGCAAGGCGAGGAAGTTGACGGACATTGCGATTGACGGCGCCAACGTCGTCGGCACAAGCAGCAGCCATACCACCGTGGTGAAGCGCACGGAGATGAGGGTCCGATTCCTCGCCGACATCCGCCGCTTGCCCAGGGCGCGCAGCTTGACTGCCCGAGCCGATGGCATGAGCATGGCACCCACGTTCGAGCTCCAGACGGCGACCGCTTAGGTTGCCACCAACATCCGCGGCCGAAGATCTCGAAAAAAGTCGTGCCGACCCATCCGTTATCGTCGTAACGCTCGGGGGCCCTCCTGGTGCTGTGGGCGAGGGCGCAGCGGTGCGGCTGGTTGGCAGGGTTGGCATTGCCGCTGGGGCAGGGAGCACCGCGGCGAGAGCACGAAGGACCGGGTCCATGGCGACCGCCCAAACACTACCCGATAGCGGGCAACCTTGAGCGACTCCGCTGGCCAAGACACACAGGACATGATGAACTCCGCCAAGCAGTACGTATCCCTCCGCGTCTGCGTACAGAGCGTGGACACCATTGAGGAAGCCGTGCTGGAATCCGAACCGCCTCAACGCCCCAAACAACCATTGGCGCCCAAAGGATGGGGAAAGCAACAGCCACGTCAAACAGCAAAAGCATGGGCATGAAGTCCTCCCCATCGGGAAGCAGGCCGGCCAATCTCGACTCGCAGTCGATCTCTACGATGTTGTGGCAAAAGCTTCGACCTCGAATGAAGCCCTGCTGGACCGAGTGGGCGTGCTCCGCGACGTGGACCGCCATCTGCGCATCCATGGCCGAGGCGATGATCTTGGCGTCGGTGTTCTTCCTGGTGATGGGTCACAATGCCCCGGCATCGCGGATGCAATTGACGAGGTCGCCTGCCTCCGAGCCCTTGGGGATGAAGGAGAACAGGGAGTGGTTGAACCCTCGAGGTGCTGTGCCGAACATGAACATGTCCATGGCGACGTCCTCCAGCAGGCTGAAGGCCCTGGAAACTTGGCACCAGGCTTAATAGGTAGCTGGTCGGGACCAGGGGCAGAATTCCGCGCCGAAACCGCAACTCGGCGAAGGCTGCTTTCCGTGGGCGGGGCCAGTGGCGCGGCATGAATAGAGGAGGGTATGTGCTCGTCCAGGAAGGCGTCAAGCTTGGTGGCATCGACGGTCTTGTCTGCGAAGACGGGCGCCCAGTGTTCTTGGAGGATCCGCGCAATGCCTTCTGGGTCCTTCTCGACCGAATGCCCATGGGAAAGACGCACACCTCGCAGCTGAAGCCAAGCAGAGAAGGGGGCCCAGAGGCGACTGCGCCGTTGCAGATGTCGTTGCAGTCGCTGCTGGTATTCGGCATTCTGGGTCTGCCGCAGACGGGTCGCCTGCGCAGCGTCCTCTTTGGCTCGCAGCTGAAGGGCATGAAGATGGCCACGGTGCGCAGCAGCAGCAGCAGCAACAGAGGCGAAACCGCCTTCGTCGATGAGAGAGACCGCGGCTCCTGCGATGCACAAGTGGTCCTTACCCAACTCTGTGCGTTGGATGAGGGCAGCTGCGAGTGCCGTGTCCTGCCGCCAAATCGCCCGCGAGATCGATCGCATCGCGGTACTACGTGCCGCCGCGACGTGCTGCCCCTTGATGCCCCCAGGGAGGCTGGTGAGGTAGTTGCGGGTGAGTCTGGCAGCATTCTTGATGTTGGCCTTCATGATGCGCAGTAGTTGCCCGGCAGTGCGGTCCTCCGTGCGGGACAACGAGTGCAAGAAGTTGTAATGCTTCTGAAACTGCGGCACCTCGAAAACGAAGTCAGGGATGCTCTGGCATTCCCCCTTCTGTGGCTACATGAAGCCGAAGACGTAGTGATAATATACCGTGGTCGCTCATCCTCTGGTCGCTGAGCTCCATCGCTTCCTGGTCGACGTGCAACAGCACCTCGAGGTTGGGAATAGCATGCGAAGGCAAGCTGACGAAGGCGCGGTCGATGCGGGTGGACGTGAGAGAGTGCCTATCGAACCGTGTGGGGCGACTGTTCTCAACCTCAACCATGTCCGAAAACAGCCGCCGCCAAAATGCCTGCTGATGCTGATCTCCTGCACGCGTTGGGAAGGAGAGCTAACTCGTCTGGTCGCCCGCGGGGGCCGTCATGGCCAGCGGGGCAGGTTCCACGTAGGACGCCGGCGGCTCGTCGTGGATGTTGAAATCGCCGATGGCCACGAAGAGACGCTGCATGGGGGCCTTGATAGCCCACCGCTGGTAGTGGCGCCAGCACGAGGCTACAAGGTGTCGCTGCGCGTGGTCCAAGTCGTGATTGTGGACGTTCAAGATCACCAGGTTGCAGATGCAGTCGGCGAACATCTCCAACAGGTGGACACGGCCGGGGACAACCTGACGGTGAACGTGAATCACTGGATTGCTATCAAGCACAATGCCGATGGCGGGCGGCAGCGACGGAGCCCACGAGCCCTGGGACGGAGTGGCTTGACGCTCAGCTGACGGCTGTGCAGCTACTTGTGAGGGGCCGGGGGACGTCTCGGAAACAAGTGGGGGAACCTCATTTCCTGGCAAAGCGTCTGGAGCTCCACTGTGGTCACCTTCCGCCGCAATCGCCAGGAAGTCGGAGTCGTCCTGTGTGGAACCCGATGCGGAGCAGGAGGACGAAGACGAAGAGGGAGATGAAGACAAAGCGGAGGACGGATCAGATGGTGTGCCAGGCGGGCCCGACAGGCCGGCGGAGTCCGCAAGATCCACCTGAACCACATGACGGTCAGAAGGAACGAGCAGTGCAACTCCTCCAGCTCCAGGGGCGGCGCACCCGCTGAAGAAAACAGAATAGTCATATGGAGTCGAAGCCATCAGACGACGCAGGCGCTTGGCAGTCCCATGCACCTCCTGGACCGCAACGACAGCCTTCTGCTTGAGGTACGTGGAGAGGACCTTGAGCTTCTTACGCCGGCGAGCGGGGTCCCCGCAGACGAGTCCCCGAGCATTCCAGGACACTATGTGGAGGCCGCGAGCCGACGATGCCAGAGAAGTCCACGGTGTCGAGGTGGTGTTACCCCCACGTGATGCCTCTGTCCTCCGCGAAGATGGAGTCGAACTCCTTGACCAGCCCGGCCTCGTCCAAGCCCTCCACGGCCACCAGCTGCTTGTTGAAAACCAGCTTGGTCGCGACATCAGCGGAAGCGCCCACCTCCAGCTTGACCAGGGGCGTGCCGTTGAGGAGGACTCTGCCTTTGGGCCTGCGCCCCACAAAGGACTTCTGAGGGTACCATTCCTGTAGAAGTCGGTGGAGTCGTCGAGTCTGGAGCTCAGTGCGAACTTGCTTCGGGCTCCGGTCCGCATTGATGTAGATAGGAGCGTTCTGCCCCGTGGCCGCCAAATCGGTGAAGGATCTCCAGGCGCCTCCAGGAAGTTTAAGATGACGTGCGAGAGCCGCTGAACGGGGCGAAGTAATGTCCTTGCCACCGAGAAGCTGAATGTGGAACTTCCGCGAGGGCGCGTCGCCGACCACCGATACCATGTCCATGGTGAGGCCGGCATCGGCAATCCAGGGGCCGATGGCCTGCCGAACGGCTGCGGGGGCAACAAGTTCGGGGGCGCCGATGGTGTAGACGGAGGGGTCAGGAGGCCTGTCCCAATCCGCCAGGGCCACCAAATCCATCGCGGGAAGCTGGGCTTCGGCCATGGCGAGCTGTCGACGTACCTCTTCGACCGACGCTGCCGTGGCGGCCTGGGCCGCTTCGCTCGCCGTGAGGCGCTGCCGGTTGTCGACCATCTCCTGCTTGGAGGCTTCAAGGCGCCTGTTGACGGTGCGCTCGAAGGTCGAGATGGTCCGCCCGATCGACTGGATGGAGGCTTCGGTGAAGGTCCGCATGGCGGTGTCCACTTGCCCTGTGAGCTCGGTCCGAAGAGCATCGGCGATGCCCCTGAAGGCGTCAGGAACAGCTGCAGGGGGGAGAGGACTGCCAGGGCCTGGAGGTGGAGGTGCAACCCCAGCGCGGGCAGGAAGACCGCCTGGTGCCCGCCAGGGGTCGGCTCGCTGGAGCACGTCATCGCCTGGGGTAGCAACAGCGGCGGCACCCGCACCGGCACCAGCAGCAGGCTGGCTGGGCTGGCTGGGCTGGCTGGGAAGCGTTGGTGCCGCTTCCAGCCTTGCCCAGAGCGCCTGCTGGTCCAGGGCTTCCATGGTGGCCGCGGCGGCGGCAGCGCGAGCGGCGGGCGCGCTGCCACGGGCTGCTCCTCGCGGACACTCCGAGCGGGCGATCGGGCCGCCGTCATCGCGAGCGCCACGCTGCCGACGGCGGCGGCGTGGCTGCTGCGAGTGGCCACCGCTGCGCCCGCTGCGGCTGTGGCTGTGATCAGCAGCAGCAGCAGCATCTTCATCTGAGCTCCGCGAACTGCCCATAGACGAAGGCATGGCATGCGCGCCCGGAACCGCTAGTGGAGTGGTGATATGGAGCCTGCGGTGGTGAACCGCAGGGATCGGTGGAAATAGCTGAAGAGCACGGGGGCTTTGAGCCCAAGCTGCGGGGCTCTCAGCCCCCTTAGAGCCAGATCGGGTTCTAAAAGAGCCTTGAGCCAAAATTACTACGGTAACAGGAGGAGGAAGAGGAGGAGGAGGAGGAGTAAGAGAAGGAGGAGGAAGAGGAGGACTGGAGGACGGGCAGCAGGAGAAGGAAGAGGAGAGGAATGACGAGGAAGAGGGGATGCCCAGAATGGTGACTGGAGGCCCAGACATGTCGAAACGCCTGCCGAACCTGAAGCCGCCTCCTGGCGCCGCCTCAGGACTGCAGAAGAAGACGTTGCGGCCCAGGCCCCCGCCACTCCGAGGACTGCCCCGGACCCCTCTGGCGACCTCCCGACGCCCGCCGGACCCAGGTCGGCCGACACCGCCAATGTTCGCGCTTCGCGGCACGAGACAAGCGCAAGGCGCGGCCTCCACGATGGAGGAGGGAGAAAGAGGATGAGGGAGAAAGAGGAGGAGGAGGAGGAGGAGGAGGAGGAGGAGGATGAGGAAGAGGAGGAGGAGGAGGAGGAGGAGGAGGAGGAGGAGGAAGATCACTGACCAAACCGTCAGGACTGCGAGCGAACCGCCTTTGAACAGTCCCTGGGCCGAGGAGGGACTGTCAAGGAGGAACACCCGGCACCTGGGGAAGCCCCAACTCGCAGCCTGCTCATCTTGGTTGCCAACGAGGGCAAACCCTGGCCAGCAACCCACGCCAGGAACTGCGTGGGAGTGGCGCCCTGCTCAGGGCAACGCCTGCTGGTGGTGGGGGCGGACAGAGCGACAATGCGGCAACCCCAGCTGCCCCTCTTTCCCACGATTGGAGTATTTCTCTCCGCGAAGAGCGCAAAAGCGGTGCAAGCCGAGGTAAGAGTGGCAAGAGTGGCGGCCGTTAGGCGAACCTTCTCCTGCCCCGTCGCAAGAAGGCCGCCCTGCCCCCCCCCCGCCCGTCAAACAGGGAGCTGCACAAGCGGAGGGCAGACCTCTGGAGAGGTGGGGTTTGGACTGTCTTGCGGCTGGGGAAGAGGGTGGGTAGGGAGGAGAGCACTGCGCTGATGGCAACCCGCGACGAAAGGCAGGATAATGACAGTGGAAGGCGAGCAAGCGAATGAAGATGAATGGCTCGGAGTAGGAGTATGATGAGGAGGAGGAGGAGGAGGAGGAAGAGGAGGAGGAGGAGGAGGAGGAGGAGGGAAGGAGGAGGAGAAGGAGAAGGGAAGGAGGAGGAGGAGGAGGAGGAGGGAGGAAGAGGAGGAGAGAAGGCGGTGTTCTTGTCGCTTACTCTCTATTTTCAAATGCAGGAAACCAATTTGATCCCCCCCCCTCCCCCAAGGGCTTTCGCCCCTGGGGAGGGGGGGGGGGGGGCTGCGTCAGACGGACACACTAGCCACCAGTGCCCCAGTGCCTCAGGAGGGGGAGGAGGCGAAGGGCCTCATGAGGGGGAGAAGGAGGAGAAGGAGGAGAGAAAGAGGAGGAGGAGGAGGAGGAGGAGGAAGTATAGAAGAGGACGACGGGAGGAAGGAGGAGGAGGAGGTAGGGGAGCGCGAGAGGGGGCAGGGAGCGCGCCTGGCTGCAGAGCAGCGCGCGCCGCCACATCTTTGACGCGCCCGAGGTCCCCGGAGAGGGCCCGTCCTCCACGGTCTCCACCCGCCCCGCGCGCGCGAGGCGCGCGGGAGGCGGCGGGTTGGCGCCCGGCAGCCGCTCCTGTAGAGAGACAAGGAAGCGGCAGTACGGTGTTCGGCCTGACCTAAGGAACGATCAATAAGGAACGAAGCCCCTTTTTTCTCAAGGAAGTCTAGGAAGTCCGAAGGAACACCAGGGGGGCTAACCGCCAAAAATGTAGCGGAGCGCATGCACACCAAAGGAACGACCGAGCCCCTTTTGAAAAGTAAGCGTTCCTTATTTAAGCCGGACCCTGTACACAAGAGCAAAACCCAAATCAATGGATGGTTTGAGATGGAATCGATAAAGATATCGATAAGGAGATCGACAGGGAACCCGGGAACCTGGAACCCAGCCCAAAAGCAATAACCAGGGACCCGGGAACCTGGAACCGGGAACCCAGCCAGCTACCAAAATCGGCGGGAAACTTTCCCCAAATCTTGCAATTCCTGCTAGGACCCCTTCAGCGCAAGCTCTGATTGGGGAATGAAATCTGGGGACATGTCATGACCCTGGCCACGAGACCCGCCCTCCCAGTCATCACACCCCTCGCGGCCCCCAGGGAGGGCGGGCGGGAGAAATGTAGAGGAAGAATAGGAACGGCATAAGCATAATTTCTCTGAGATCCGCGCGGATTTCTCGGATCGGCGCCGGAGGGGCCGCCAGGGGGGCCCAGCACCGATCCGAGAAACTCGCGCGGACCTCCAAGAAATTATGCTTATGCATTTTGATATACTTCAAGCTCTAGGACGGCGCTGGTGCGAATCGTCACGTGGCCAGCCCCCTTCCCCACCACCCCCGTCACGCCCGTTGTCGCCGGGGGATAAACAAACAGTTTGTCTTGTTTCAGGGCTTGACCTGAAGAGTGCTCTTCGTTTTCGTTTCGATGTTCGTTTTGCCTCGCTCGTTTCTCCCTTGCTGTAAGAACGAGCTCAAAACGAAAACGGCCTACGAAATCGCCAAAACAAAGTTTAGCTCGAGCCCAATTTATTCTTCCAGAGGAGCAAAAACGGCATAAACATAAACGTTCAGAGGTCCGCGCAGTTTGTGTTGGATCGGCGCTGGATCCCTTCCCTGGCGCGCGGAGCGCGCCAGGGGCGGCGACGGAGGCGCCGCCAGGGGGCCCAGGCGTCGTCCAAAGAGATCCGCTCGGCGCGCCAGAGTCTATGTTTTTGCAGTTGTTTCTTCTTCGATCTTCGAGCTCCAGCCAGCCGCAGGGGTAGCAGCGCAGCAGCAGCCAGCACTGGGCGGGGAACCACAGCGGCCAGACCGTCTTCAGCAGCACCAGCGCCTCCGCGGCCGCGAGCTCCAGCTGTCCGGGGGCTCGTCGGGCCTCGGAGCCCGCGGGCCTTGAGAGACACGTGGCCGCGGGATGCACGCGGGAGCCCGTGTCCATCTCCTCCGGCACCCCGACGGGCAGAACATCCCCACAAACGCCAGCAAGCCAGAGAAGGTCTGTTCTCCACGCTCGACTGGTTGGGACCACCCCTCGGGCGATGATAGGATTTTGGGGGGGGCTTGCATGCCAATGTGCAATTCGAAATTCATGCTGGTGTGCATTTCGGTGTACACCTCGATCGGCGGTTCGACTCGTAGCTCAATTGCAGTTGACTTAGCATGTCGATGCGCAGTTCGACTGCAATTGCATACTCATGTCGATTATGACAAATTCAGATAGCTTTGCACGCCGCTTTGCATCTCGACTTGCGATTGCGCGCTGTATGCCGATGTGCATGTTTATGCGTCTGTGGAGTAAAACTCATTGAGGATGTAGCTTTTCACGCCGATTGCAAGTGGAATTGCAGTTACACTTGCACTTTGATCTGCATTTCGATCTCCACTGGCTTTGCATCTCGATGAACATTTCGATGTCCGAATGGTTAGCATATCAGTCCTCGTTTCTATACACAATTCGATGCGCATGTCGATGTAAAGGCCGATTGCAGATATCTACCACTTGGGATTACATTGCGATGTGCATTCCTAATTGAAGTTCGATTGCACCTGGGTTTGAATGTGATGTGTCTCACATGTACATGTTGTTTCACATGTCAAAGTGGTTTGTTGCGTACATAACGGTTGGCATTTCGACTGCAATAGGGTCAACTCCCGATCTAACTCGCAACGGAACAACCACGGAACAACCCGCAAGACTATCACGGAAAAGCCGCAGGACAACAACGGGACAACCCACAGGACAATCCACGAAATGAATATGGGACGACCGCGGGACAACCCAAGGGGACACCCATGGGACAAACACGTAACAGCCATGAGGCAACCCATGCGACAACCACGGGACTACGGGACAACTACGCAACAACCCATGGGACAACTCCGCGCGCCGCCGCGAGATCGACGGCAGAATCATGTTGCTCTACTTGACCTCGCTGCGGCCGACGCAAACCTACCCTCGCGCAGCTCCGCCTCGCCCGAGCGCGCGGCACGAACTGAAACCGCACGGATCTATAGCTCCATCACGAGGCAACACAATGACAACCATACGCTTCCAACCAGACACGCTGCACACATTCCCAATGTCTGAACTTCCAGAGGCCTCGAGCTGATGCCTGGCTGCTGGCTCCCCCCTGGGCCGAGCCGCCGCGCCACCGCAGGGAACGCCAGGGGAGGGAACGAACCCCCCGGCCACGGAGAGCCTCGGCCACGAGCAGCTTCCCCGATCCCCTCCCGAGCCTTAGGTCGTGCGTGTCCCCCATACAGGCGGATTGTGAACGACGCATTACACATGGGCCAAACAGAATAGCAACAAGCGAATCAAAACGTATTCGAAAAAGCGTCCCCAGGCTAGACTTTTTCCCAGCCATCCTGTGGTGTTGGGTCCTCGTTTTGAAGAAACAGCGCCCCGCGTCTCACCTTCTCCCGCTGCCCCCATCCTTCCTCCCATTCCTGCTTCTGCTCGCCGCACGCCCACCATGTCGGCACACCCCTCACGAGGACCGTGGCCCCATGGGAAGCTCCACGGAAGGCCCCAGCGGCAGGGTTTGCATGCGTCCCCCGCTGATTCTGCACACCCCTCACGAGGATCGTGGCCCCATAGGGAGCTCCACCGAAGGCCACATCGGCAGGGTTTGCATGCGTCCCCCCGCCCATTTCGGCACACCCCTCACGAGGATCGTGGCCCCATAGGGAGCTCCAGCGAAGGCCTCAGCGGCAGGGTTTGCATGCGCCCCCCCGCCCATTTCGGCACACCCCTCACGAGGATCGTGGACCCATAGGGGGTTCCACCGAGAGCGGTACCCACAACGCGGTACTCACAGCTGAATATGGTTGGGTCCTTCGCCAGGATAATTTTGAATATCTTCCTGTATGGGGACATGCCCGACCGAACCCGAGCCCCGAACGGACACGGGACACAAGGAAGCCCTTGATGTGGCAGGGTCCACCTACTAATCTGGGCCTGCTGTACACCTTCGGCGCCTGGACTGCCGGCCCGGGCATGCATCATGACTTCCAAGGGGCCTCCGAGCTTTGAGGCCCGAGGCTTCGTCGGGGCGCCTCAGCCACCCGAGCCAGCGAGACTGAGCGCTCCGCTGCGCGGCGCTCCAGATGTAGACGAAGCCAGGGCGAGGATAAGTTCGGGTGAGGATGAATCAAAAGATTTATCTGAGATCCCGCGGCTCTGGAGGATGATTCGGGCGCCGCGGCCTTCTCAGAGCGCTCTGGAACGCTCCGACAGCGTTCCGGAACACGAAGTTATCCTTAGGTCGGGCATGTCCCCCTACAGGGGGAGGTTGCACGAAAAAGAAAAAATGTTCACACATTTTCAACTTTCTAACTATTTCTGAATCTTCCCCCTCTAGAGGGACATGCCCAATTAAGTTTATCCTTCCTCGTCCTGGCCCCGTCCAAAGATGCGCCGTTCCGCCTCCGCCGTGGCGCCCGGGAACCACGCCCTCAGCGCTCGTTCGGCGGCGCGACCCGCAGGCGTGCCTCTGAAGAAGCGGCTCACTGGGCGCGCACGGCGGCAGCCCGCCACCGTGGCTGCGAAGAACGCTGCCTTGCATCCCGCCAGGGCCGCGATGAAGAGCGGTATTTCTCGGCGGCGAGCGAGGGGGGGGGGGACGTGAGAAGGAGATGGTCTTCTCAGAAAGCGCCGGGGCTACTCAGCAAGCCCTCCAGCCTTCTGAGAAGTGTCCTGCGTCTTCGGGGAAGGCTTAGGCGCCAGGCGCGGCCACTTGTTTGTGTCTCCCTGGGCCCCTTCGCTGGAGGAGCTGACGCAAGCCCAGATCTCAAGCAGCTCGAGCAACAGTCCCCCTGTTCTTTGTTCATGCTTCCGCTCGAGTGAGCGCATGGAGAGCTGCTAAACTTCTCAAAAGGCCGGGGGCTTCCGAGCCTTCTGAGAGAAGGCCCGCCCCTTCTCGCTTTCCCCCCGGGCTCGCCGCCGAGGTATGTCGGCGCTGCCCAGGCCCTGGGACCGCAGGAAGGACTCTGGGTCCTCCATCCATGCGCGCGGCGCCGCAAGTGCTCGACCCCAAATGCGAAGGCTGATGCCGAGGCGGCGGGCAGGAGAGCCGCCATGGTCGAGGATGTGATGGAGATTGCGAAAATAGAGAAAGAGAGAACGCCACAAACATAAACTTTTGGCGCTCCGCGCGGATTTCTTGGATCCGCGCTGGAACCCCCTCCCTGTCGCGGAGCGCGCCAGGGGCAGCGTCAGAGGCGCCGCCGGGGGCGTTCCCAGCGCGGATCCAAGAAATCCGCGCGGAGCGCCAAAAGTTTAGATGTTTATGCCATGTCTTCGTCTTCGAGAAGACAATGGCGCACGCGTGCGGGTATAGTACGGCCGTGGGACCCGCCCCCAAAAGATCCGCGAAGAGTGTCCCCGAGCGGCCACACGAAGGGCACCCGGGCGGGGCGCACCACTCGAGCAGGGACCGACCTTCCCGGCATTCCTATAGGCCTACCACGCCGTAGAACCCGAAAATGTTAGAAGTACAAGAACACTGTTCTTAGAACACAAGCCCGACGTGCTAAAAAAGGACAGACTCAGCCAGAAGTGTTCTGACTTCGTGCAAACCGCAAAAGTTCTTAGAACATTCTTTGGTGGACCTATATGAGGGGGCCAAGGGACGCACAAACAAATACCCACAAATCCCAGGATCCCCTAGATTTTATAATATTTTCTGTGCTTTCGTCTTCCCCCGCGCACTTCCCATATGTTCCCATCTTTTCCGGGGGGTCGACGACAAATTGTGTCTGTGTTTCTTTCCCTCCTGACTATAGGCGAGCCAGGACGCTTCACCACTGCTTGAGACACGAAGGGCACCGGGGCGGGGCACACCACAGGATGGCCCCAGGGGCCCGGCCGCAGACTGGCCCAGCCACGGCGCGCCACCCCTGGGCGCGGCGGGCTCGCAGGCGCGGAACGGCAGCGGGAGGCCCGCCGAGGGATGCGCCTGCGGCAAGGCGCGAGGGGCCGGAAGCTGCGGCAGCTGCGCTACTTCTCCTCCTCCTCCTCCTCCTCCTCCTCCTCCTCATCCTCCTCCTCCTTCTGCTCCTCCTCCTCCTCCTCCTCCTCCTCCTCCTCTTCCTCCTCCTCCTCCTCCTCCCAAGCGGGTTCCCTCTTGGCTTGGCTTGGGGGGGCCGGTCGCTGGTCCAGGGGGCGCTGGCAGTGGGCGATCCGGCAGGTTCGCGCCCAGTGCCCGAGAGGCCCAGGCTCAGGACGTTCACGACGGTCTGATGCCCGAGCTCCCTCGCCGAAGGACGAGGAGGAGGAGGAGGAGGAGGAGGGCGATGACTCTCTCTCTCTCTCTCTCTGTTGATCCCACTCTCCCCGAAGGACGAGGAGGAGGAGGAGCAGGAGGAGGAGGAGCAGGAGGAGGTATGAGCAGGAGGAGCAGGAGCAAACATCTTCGCACTCCGGCATCAACGCCATGTAGAATGGCAGCCCTGTTGCCCAGGTTGCGAAGCGCGATTGCCTTCGCGCCCCTGCAGGTGGCCTACGACGAGGAACTTAGACTTGAGAGTCAGGCCGCCGACGGGCAAGATAATGCAGATCCCTTGGCTCAGGCCGAGCTTCTCGACCGCGGCCGACAGGAGGTAGCAGCCTCGGCCCGAACCATTGCGTGAAGACCACGCACGTGCTGAATGTGGACACTGATTTGGAGAGTGCTCGAGCGCAACTGACCAAGACGAGACGAGGAGGAGGGGGAGGAGGAGGAGGAAGAGAAAGACAACGACGACGACGATGCAAGGCATGGCTTAACCGGATCCCCGCGCGATCAATTTTGCTCGCCTCGCTCGCGACCAAACACCGTCCAAAGTCGGTGGTGGGCTGACCATCTTCAGCAACCCATGCGCTACTTTGCGGAACTGACGCACGGAGCACCGCACTCACTCGGCCGCCGAGCACTCGTCGTAGTCCGCGCCGCAGCGTCGGCTGATGCCGACGAAGCTCGGGGTCTCGCTCGGCGAGCTGAACGAGGGGCTGAACTGCTGGTCGATGAAGCGTAACGACTCCTCTGGGCGGGGGGGTGCTCGACGACGGGCTCGTCGTCCTCCGCCGCCTTCTCGTGCTGCTGGTTCGCATCCCCATATTCCCATGTTCCTCCAATTCCTGCACCACCACCTCATGTTCCTTCTCCCCATTACATTCCCAGGCCAAAAGATTTGTCCTCGTGCTGCTGGTTCACATCCCCATACATCCCCAGGCCGGACGTTTTTTCCTATTGGACTAAAAATATGAGAACATCAGTGGATCCAATTGGATCCCTTTTCTCGGGTGTGGGAGTTTCGTGGAACCTATTTCTGTGTTGCGCGGATCCAATTTCCTGTGTGAAAAAAAGGTGGATCCATTTATTCCCCGGGAATATATATATATATACTATGAAATCATATGATAGGATATCATAAAATAAAATACCATATAATATAACATAACATAGTATAATATACTATAATGCATAATATGATATAATATAATATTATATAACATTCTATAATATGATGTATTATATTTTAATACAATATGACATTATATCATAGCATACACTAAAATATAATATAATATATCACAATGTAATATAAAAACCTAAATTATATAATATAATATGATATAATGTATTATAATATGATATATTATAATATAATGTAATATAATATTACATAATAGAACGTACAATAATATAATATACCATAATATAATACATTAAATTATGATAAAACATTCTATACTATAATATCATATAGTATGCTACGACATAATATAATATATCATAATATAATATATCATAATATAAAATGAAACAATAAAATATAATATAATATAATATATTATGTATATAATATAATATAATACATTGATATCGAACATAATAACAATAAGAAAAAGATAAATATCCGGGACCCAGGGGACATGGGATCCACGGAGCACCGCAAGTGAAGCATCATGCTATCCACGGAGCTGTGGATCTGCAGACCAGCGCTTTGATTCTACGGGGAAGGGGGTCTTCCCAGGATGAAGAGGGGAAGGATGAGGGAAGAGGCAAGAGGAGGTGTGAAGAGAACAGAGGGGATCGGCGCGTCGCTTCCGACATGTGGGGCGCAAGAGGGAAATCTTTCGGCCTGCGTAACTGGGATTTCGAGCTGCGTCTCCCACGCCAACACGTTGTGGTAACCCGCCAACTCTGTGTGCTAAATCCTCCAACGGGATTTCGAACTGCGTCTCCCCCGCCAACACGTTATGCGAACCCGCCAACACTGTGTGCTAAACCCTCCAGTGGGATTTCGAATTGCGTCTCCCCCGCCAACACGTTGCGTTAACCCGCCAACGCTGCGTGCTAAATCCTCCATTCCCAGGCCGGACGTTTTTTTCCTATTGGACTAGAAATATGAGAACATCAGTGGATCCAATTGGATTTTTTCGGGTGTGGGAGAGTTTCGTGGATCCTATTTCTGTGCTGCGCGGATCCAATTTCCTGTGTGTGAAAAAAACGATGGATCCATTTATTTCCTGGGGATAAATACTTGTACATATATATATATATATATATACGTATATATATAAATATATATTAATAATAATAATAATAATAAGAATAATAATAATACTAACAATAATAAACATCCGGGACCCAGGGGAAATGGGATCCGCGGAGCACCGCAAGTGAAGCATCATGCTATCCACGGAGCTGCGAATCTGCAGACCAGCGCTATGATTCTACGGGGCGTCTCCCCCGCCAACACGTCGTGGCAACCCGCCAACTCTGCGCGCTAATTCCTCCAGTGGGATTTCGAACTGCGTCTCCCCCGCTGCGAACTCGCCAACACTGTGTGCTAAATCCTCCAGTGGGATTTCGAATGTCGTCTCCCCTGCCAACACGTTGTGCTAACCCGCCAACACTATGTGCTAAACCCACCCTCCCAAGGCCGGAAGTTTTTTCCTGTTGGACTAGAAATATGAGAACATCAGTGGATCCAATTGGATCATTTTTTTCGGGTGTGGGAGAATGTCGTGGATCCTATGCTTGTGTTGCGCGGATCCAATTTCCTGTGTGTGAAAAAAACGGTGGATCCATTTATTCCCCGGGAATATATATATATATATATATATATATATATATATATACACGATCCTAAAAATAAAAACCATAATAATAAAAGATATTCGGGACCCAGGGGAAATTGGATCCACGGAGCACCGCAAGTGAAGCATCATGCTATCCACGGAGCTGTGGATCTGCAGACCAGTGCTATGATTATACGGGGAAGGGGGTCTTCCCAGGATGAAGAGGGGAAGGATGAAGGAAGAGGCAAGAGGAGGTGTGAGGAGAACAGAGGGGATCGGCGCGTCGCTTCCAGGCCGGAAATGTTTCCTCCTGGACTAAAAAAATGAGAACATGGGTGGATCCAATTGGATCCTTTTTTTTCGGGTGTGGGAGAGCGTCGTGGATCCTATTTCTGTGCTGCGCGGATCCAATTTCCTGTGTGTGAAAAAAACGATGGATCCATTTATTTCCCGGGAATATATATATATGTATAATAATAATAATGATCATCATCATCATCATCATCATCATAAACATATGGGGCCCAGGGGAAATGGGATCCGCGGAGCACCGCAAGTGAAGCATCATGCTATCCACGGAGCTGTGGATCTGCAGACCAGCGCTATGATTCTACGGGGAAGGGGGTCTTCCCAGGATGAAGAGGGGAAGGATGAGGGAAGAGGCAAGAGGAGGTGTGAGGAGAACAGAGGGGATCGGCGCGTCGCTCCCGACATGTGGGGCACAAGAGGGAAATCTTTCGGCCTGCGTAAATATTCCCATGTTCCTCCACGTCTTGCACCACCACCTCGTGTTCCTTCTTCTCCTTACATCCCCAGGCCGACATATTTGTCCTCTTGGACTAAAATATAAAAAAACACCGATGGATCCAATTGGATCATGTTTCGGGTGTGCGGAAGTGTCGTGGATAGCGGGATTACGAACTGCGTCTCTCCCACAAATACTTTCGCGAATGTTTGGCGCGGGGCGCCGGATCCTTCATCCCCAGGCCGGGGTTTTTCCTCTTGGACTAAGAAATGAGAACACCGATGGATCCAATAGGACCCTGCTTCGGGTGTGCGACAGCATCGTGGATCCTATTTTTGTCTCGCGCGGATCCCATTCCCCGCGTGTGACACAACAGTGGGTTCATTTACTTTGCGGGAGTACCATATATATATGTAATACGAATTAAAATGGTAATAAGAATGAGTGCACTGTGAAATAATAAAAAAGTAAAGATCAGAATAAGAAGAATTAACCTAATAATAATGATAATAAAAATGATAATACGAATACTAATAATAGTAATAATTATAGTAATGATAATAAACATTCCGGACCCAATGGAAATCGAGTCCGCGGGGCACCGCCCGTGAAGCATCATGCTATTCATGGAACCTGTGGATCTACTGACAAATGTTATGACTCTACGGGGGAAGGTGCGGCTATCCGAGGACGGAGAGGAAAAGGAGGAGAGAGGAGGCACGAAACCGAAAAGAACACTACATGTATCCGCTCACCTGAACGGCACGTCGCTTCCGACATTCGAGGCTCAAGCGGAAAATCACTCGGCCTGCGTAGGCGGGATTCCGAACTGCATCTCTCCCACTAACACTTTCGCAAGTGCTTGGCGGGGGGTGCCGGATCCTTCATCCCCAGGCCGGAGGACGTTTCCTCTTGGATTGAAAATGTGAGAACACCGATGGGTCAAATTAGATTTTTTCGGGTGCGCGACAGCGTTGAGGATCCTATTTCTGTCTGGCGCGGATGCAATTTCCCGCGTGTGAGAAACCAATGGATCCATGTATTCTCCGGGAATATATATATATATATATATATATATCACTCGCACCTTGAGGCGAGTCCTGAGCGTCCAACAGGCGGGCCTAGAAGGGCGCTCTAGAGAGGACTACCAGAGCTTGCATGGCTCTGCGGAGTGCGTAAAAGTATACGTCGAGAGTTTCCTCAGACGCATGCAGGTCAGGCTCTGGAGAGGTGCGCACAACGTTGTAAAGATGGAAAGCGCGCAGCGCTCGCTCGACTTCCTCAAGCGACGGGGAGTCAGCGAGCCCAAAACGCTGAGCAAGCGAGATGGGGGGCACCTCAGGGTGGTATAGAATGCCCCACAGGACAGGACAACGGATGTCATGTGACATGTCATCCCTGCACTCTGCACAGCTAAATCGACAACTACGCATCTCGGCACTGCGCAGGCGGATACTGGTGGGCCATCCGCCGACCACTGTCTTCAGGACTGCGCTCTGCCAAGCTGGGGGGTCCCCGTCTCGGACCAGGCCCCGAAGAGGGGCCCAGTGCTGGGCACAGAACTGCCCCCCCCCCCAAGGAGGCCATGCGCTTGGCGATCCTGTCCTGAAGCACATCGGGAAACAAGGGAGGATCGGAGGGAGGCGGAGAGAATCTTCTGGCGACGCAGTCGCACAGGCGCCTCCTGCGCTGCCTGCGCAGCGACCGAGGCGAGCGCGGCACGGGCGGCCTCAGAGTGCTCACGCTGCCCGAAGCTCCCCTGCGCGGCCTCCTCCACCTGCATGACGATTGGCGGGGCCTGCCAGGACCTCGGGGACAGCCGACCGCGCCCGATGACCTCCAGCGAGCCAACCTCGTCGACCACCTTGCGGAGGAGCGCCAGCAGCGGGCGCCACATCGTGAGCGCGGAGTCCGCGGCGCGCATCCTCGACGCCATGCTGAGCACGAGCATGCTTGCAGGACGGATCACGGACCACGAGGCCACGCCCAGCAGGCCCCTCAGCGAGAAGGACTGGGGCGGGAGGTGCCAGATCTTGTGCCGCGCCCATGACTCCCGCCTGAAACTATGACTCTGCGGGAAAGCGGGGGACTTCATAGGACGGAGAGAAGAACGAGGAGGGAAGAAGCACGAAGCCGAAAAGAGCGCTGAATGTATCCGCGCACCTGAACGGCACGTCGCCTCCGACATTCGGGGCCCAAGAGGAAAAT